AACCTAGCTCAGACTTTTGTTGTGTCCCTTTGCAATCATTGTATAGCTAGTTTTATCTTTGACATTAAAATGTTTGATTCATTCAATCACAATGTATTAACTATTTTCTATATTTCTGGCAGCATGTTGGGTACAAGGGTTAATAGTATAGTTAATCTTAGAAAGCTAATATAGTTAATCTTGAAAGCTTTCTCTTAGTATGAGTAAGAAACAAGCAGGGACATAATTACTCTTCCATGTGGTCATGTGTTGTAATAGAGGTCAGGGATAAATTTCTGCGACAGTGCAGAGTTTGGGAGTCATGCTACCAGTTGGTGACTCTTAATAACTAGTATTAATCATGGTTATCATTTTTTTTGATGAGTCAGGAATGCAACCCAAGTCCTCATTTTATTTTTCTTGGTATTCGCAGCACAGGCCTTGGCATATAGTAGATGGTTATTAAATACTTGATAACTAAATGAGTGATGCTTTTTCTTATGAAAGAAAATAAATGTTTTTAGAAGAGTCAGCTTTATACCACAGTTTCAGGGAATGAATTGTGATGAAAAGCGAAGATTGCTTTTGCTTGAAGGAGGCTGACAAATTTCCCAGACCCGGGATCACTTTATGCTGTGTATGATTTAAGGATGAGTGAGCATGCCAAAGCGCTCCACTTGAGCTGAGTAATGGGGAATGAGTTGTGGAGATGTGGTCTTAGATGGTATTTTGTGAAAAATAGTAGGAGATTTATGGCTATTAAACAACTTTGTAGCTGCCCCCTTCTTGTTTTGAAGCCTGCCAAATCACTCCTCCTGTGGTCTGTATCATATTCCTTCAGGGCATCCATGATGTTCAGAAATATCCACTGGAATGCAGGTTTCCATGGAATGCACCCAATGGGAAGGGACTTGAATTTTACATACTCATCTGAAGACATTTGTTTTCTTCAACCACGGAGTGAGATTCTCACTCTGCAAGTCTCTCATGGAGTGTGCTGCACTTCTACTGACTCTTTTCCAGCGAGGCTGCCAAAGTTCTGTCTTCCTTCCTGCACCATGGAAATTGCAAAGTGCAGTATATTAGTGACTATTATCATTATTGCTGTGAGTTTAAAAAATTATCAGCAACTACCCATTTGTGAGTAGGGAAAGAGGACAGAAACCTTCAGTATGCTTTGACAAATCTTAAGCAGAAGAACTTACTAGGCTGGCACGAGCCTTTCAAGCCTTAGTATGAAGGGGGTACACATTCACTAGTATTTATCAGCTTTTTCTATTCCTTTGTCATACTCAGAAGCCTTAAGAAAAACAGAAATGGGGGTATTTCGTCACAAAAGGCAAACCAGAAACCACCTAAATTCATGTTATTCGTGTTGTGCAAGTATTGGGAAACTGTTAGAGGAATTTCCTCTCATTATGGGTTCATATCAATATAGGGCTCTATGGATCAGAGAGGAAATAGGAATATTTGTTTTTTCGATTTTCTTGTTTGAGAAATTTCAAAAATGTAGAAAAGTTGAGAAATAGTGAACACATGTAACTGACATATAGACTTTGTATTTTCTAATATATTGACATCTGTTTCTAAGTCTTTATTTAAATAAAATAAATAAACCATATATACGTGTGTGTGTGTATATATATGTATATATATATTTGAAGCCTCCCCTATCCCATTAGCCCCAGTCCTATTACCCTGCATTCTGGCAGAGGCAGCCATTTTCATGAAGTTAGTGTTTAACTAGTGTAATTGTTAGATGTTTCCATACACACATGAGGTTGAAGATGAAGATAGATAGATAGATAGATAGATAGATATAGATATTTCATATTTGTCATTTTGCAACTTGTATTTTCACTCTATGTTAAATTTATGTATTTATTTATTTATTTATTTATTTATTTATTTATGTTTTCTGTGTTAAAATTTTAGACCTATTCAACTAGAGATACATAAACCAGATTTATTGCTCTTAAATGCTAAATATTCTGTCATACAAATATACAATATTTTATTTATCCATTTTCCTTATTGACAGCCATTTGAACTATTTCCAATTTGGTGTGTTCTAAATAATCATGGAATAAACACTGTTTTATGTTCCACTTTATAGACCTGAGTGAAATTTTCCATAGAACATACATTTTAAATAAAATACATTTTAAATAAAATTTTCAGTTTTATTAGGTATTGCTAAATTACTCTCCAAAGTAGTTGAACCAATGTCTATTCCCACTGGCAAGGGACGAGAGGATAAAAGTTCATTTCCCTTCATTCACCTTAGCCCTTGTTGTAAGACTTGAAAGTTGGCCAATATGGTGAGTGGAAAAATTGTATCTTGTTTTAATTTGCATTGCTCTTCGGACTAGTGAATTTGACCTTCTTCTCTTTCATTTATTAACCACTCAGGTTTTCTCTTCTTTGAATTTCCTGACATTTCCATTGTCCATTTTTCTATTAGATTTTTAATTATTTAGGGACATATGTATTCCAGATGCTAATATTTTATTGTAGTTATTACAAATATATTGGGGTAGGAATGACTTAAAAAATAAAATGTAAGAGTATAACTTTCTGCCATAAGTAGTTAGGAAATTTGGCAAGGACTCAAAGATTTGAGAAGATTTATGGTTCTGAAGATTCAGATTTACCCAAATTTCCTTTATTCCCATTTTAGGCATATCTTCTTAATCCAGGTAAAAGAAAACATTACTTAACTTTTTCCACTTACATTTCAGTCATTTCATACTCAATATACTATGGGTATGTTGCTTCAGTTTCAAGGGAAGTTCTTTATTTGGGGCAGGTAATGTGCAAGTTTAAGACATTGTCTTGTCCACTTGTTTCATATTAATCACTCTTTTCTTAATTGTTCCTGTAACCATAATATCGAGAGAACAAATGTGTACATCACTGTTGAGAAAATCCTATGGACTTCATTTCGATAAGAGCCAAGTCAAAGAACTGGTATTTAGAATCTTAATTTGTAGTAGCTTCCTTAAACATCCAGCCCTAGATATTCCACCAACAGTTCGCAAAATTGTTCTTTTCCTGGATTCTTTTCCATGACTTGAGTTTATAAATGGACACCAAGAAGAAAAATAATTAAATGCTAGGCATAGAATGATGACTATAAAACAGAACTCATGCCACACCAATTTTGCTTTGACTACAATTGGAAATAAAGGTAAATAGCTATTTTACTCTTGGTTATAGAGCTCTAATGTTTTACCCAGTCAGAGGTATTTGCTGAAAGGTAGTTTCTTCCAGTAATTTTAGGAAAAGCTGTCATCAAATTGTCAACAGCCCAAATTGAGATTAAACACACTAAGAAATATCACAATATAGCAACCTAAAATTCATACTGGTATTTTGGGCCTTGATAGCATTGAGGTGGAACAGAAACATTGACAGAGAACCTATGGTCTTTTACTAAGGAAGTATGGTAGATCTGTGGAAGGACAGCTGCCATTACTTTGCCCCATATATCCTGCCTCCAGCATTGAATAGGCGCCATATTTAGAACACTGTCACTGTGTCTCATTTATCATGTGGGGATTGCAAGAGACCCTGAATGCCAAATGGAGGGACATGTGGTGACTTTAGTATTTGAAAATCTAATTTCTGCAGTATCCTAAGTATCTAATGATATGGTATCTAGCAAGTCTTATCTATCTTATCTACTTTTTAAAACATTTTTCTTGGTGACTGAACTTTTATCTTTCTGGACCCAGTACCCTCACACCAAGCTTTAAACACCACATGTTTCCCTTGGAGCTGGAGTAAAGTTGTGCTACCTGAAATCTGTCTCTACCTTAGGGACAAAGCTTCTGATTTTGCTCCATTCAGAACTCTTTCTGTAAAGTCTCCACTGAAAGCCGCTTAATCAAACATCTCAAATGTCAGAAGCAGGGTTTAAAGGGTTTTTCTAGCAAGTAGGTCTAATCTCCTACTTAGTTTTGATTCCTATAATGTAGATAATCTCTTTGGAGAAAAGGCCTGCTCCAAGCAGGGCAAATATATCCCATAGAATATATTTCCTATTCCAGAAAGAAAAATGTAGCATTAATGAAATTTACTTTTTCTTGAAGCTTGGAAAGGTTGTAAGCTTAGGATTTTGATCCTAGCAGATGTTCTTTTTTGGATATTAAAAAAAAAGTAGTATTTGATTCAGAAGTCTCAGTAAGAATTGCAATAGTGATGCTTCTTGCTATAAGTATCCACACTGAATGTGTCAGAATGGTCATGGGTTCTGAGGGACACCTGACTCCACAGCCATAGTCCTTTCTTCCTGGCTTCATCCCCTTAGTTGTAGAGTTACAGAGAAAGAAAGATAGCACTTCTTACCCATACAGGTCACACTATATACAGTTCGATGGTTAAAGAGCTGTTTGTGTACAATAAAAAACCATTTTCACAGATACATTTCATATCATTTTCTTTTAGGCTTTGGAATGGCAAAGTTTTATTGGGGACCATTATGTACCAAATTTCAGATGAGTTTTTCAGTGTGGTTGTTAAACTTAGCCAGAACCCCAAATGCACAGTGTGCAATGGTTTATATCCTTCGGTTCATGCTACTGAGCTTCTGTGTCTCCATGCCACTGGGGCCACGTAAACTGGCCCTGTTTTTCCCCATCCACCCTGGGGCAAAGCCCAGCATCTTCACTGGTTTCCATAGAAATCTACTCACAGTGAACACTGAATCTGTGGGAAGCACCTGAAGAAGGCCTGTGACCTTTACCTTCTCTCTTTCCTCCTTCTCACCTTTCAACACAATAAACAAACCATCCCTTTGTCACAGAGCCCTTTCACCTGTTAGTGAGACTCTTCAAAGCTTCCTATGCTACCCTGCACTCACCAGAACATTATCTCAGCACAGACAACTCTTGCTTCCTAAAAAGAGTCTTGGTTGATAATACTTCCTCCAGACTCACATCCCTAGAAGACATGTTTGGTAAATGAAGGTATTTAGTGGTTGGTGTTACTTCATGTTGACATGTTCTTTTATTACGCAGGCTTCCAGTGACCATGTCGAGGCCCCTCCAGAGCACCCCTATACACCCCTGCCTTCTGCTTCCAGGGATCTCACCAATCACCGAGGTAGGAACTCAGCTTTTTATTGCTCTTAGTAGTTACAGGGAGGGACACTTGGCTGTGCAGAGCTCTGGGCTCATTATTGCTGCCTCCGCACTTTAGAAGGAACACAGTGCTTTTCAAGGTCTTGATGAGAAAACCATACCTGTCAAACCTAGTGATTTTAACTCATATTAAATAGAATTTAGTGGCGGTCTACTGGGAAGGCAAATAAATCCATGCTATAATATAATTTTGTGATTTGATTTTTTTTTTCTTTAAGTAAAGAGATTATAGTACTTAAAAATTACTAAGTAGATCATTACCTGCAGCAAAAGTGTTGGAGAGAATTGAGAAACTCACTAATGTTTGTAAAAGTATCATTGTTTGGAGAGAATAGTTGAAATCTGTAATTTTAAAATGAATGAACTCTATGTTACAACTAAAAGGAATTCCAATTTGCCTAACAACATTGCCCAGGATCAATGCACAGCTTTTCTTAAATTATCTGATCCTCAAAAACATTAATTTGGCTTACCCGGTGTTCCCGAAGACTTCAATTCTTACTACCATTTCTAGAGTCTACGTGGAATATAATTTAAAAATGCCTCATCCCTTTGCTGTCTGCTTAGGCCAAGGACTCTATGATCACCTTTGTTGGAACTGGGAGGACACGAGGCCATGTGGTATAACTGTTTTACCCCTTTTATCCTGGTTATGACTACAGGCATGTTTCTTAATTGTGAATCTGCCTTCCAATCTAAGTAAGAACAAGCTTTTATTGAGGGCATTCCATACTTTGAACATTTCCCCAAGCGGGAAACTCCCCTCATACATTCAGGGAACACTGAATAAGGACTGTTCCAGCTCCCACCTTCTTTGCAGGATGGATGGGCATGAACAAAGGCTGTAGAGATGCCCAGAAAGTGGGGAAGCTGGCACTTGAAAAGACATGTGGGCTCTGGGCAAATGGCACACTTCTACTCTGCAGGCAATGATCAAGAGTGTATTGCAGGATTCCAGGTGTCTGTGATTTGGACCTTTGTTGCCTATTTGTTGTCTGGGCACAGTAGAACTTTTCTACATTTGCATATATTTTGGTTCAATTAGAATTCTGTTCATTAGGTGTCAGTTTTGTGGAAATCAACTTTGTTCAAAGGCAGGTAGAACAAACAGCTACCCACATGCTGTATTTGGAGGACCGCGAAGAGAGCTCCCTCACTGAATGTCCTTATGGAAGTCTTGAACATATTCCTTTAGGGACTGGTGTTTTTTGTTTTGGTTTGGTTTGGTTTTTTTTTTGGTGGGGGGCAGGTGGAGAGTTCCTCTAGGTGAATAACAATACCATATCTAGACAGAATAACCAATTAACTCTAGCATTATATCCTCATGGATTTATTTATTGGTTTCTTATATTTAAATAAAGGTATTTTTACTGTATAGATCCTTCAGTACACTGCATAGGAATTGAAGTCTCAGAGCCCCTAAGTCCACTTGTAAAAGTTGATCTAGCCATGAAATTGAGATTTCACAAAAGAAGGACATAATGAGATAAATGATAATCCCCAATAATAGGACCATATTTCACTGTAATAGTAAAACAAGAAATTTGAACCTTAAAGAAATGGAATATAAGACTACAAGTTGTGAAGGTATGTTGAGTAATATTTGGAATATGGAAAAATGCCCAAGGTGTTTAGAGTTAAAACAAATGCCCTTTGATGACGTCAGAGCCCGACATTATGGGAACATTGTTATTTAAAGGACCCAGCAACAGATATCTCAGTTTTACTGAGGAATACCTTATCCATTTAATGAGCTGGTTGCTTGATTAGTTTGAAGGACCTGGTAGTGAAAAAAGTGAACATAATGAAATGGTGGCCAGGTCTTTGGGCCTGTGGTCTTGTGGATACCAGTAAAGAGAGAGCCAGAGAAATTCATTAAGTTTGAATTATTATTGGACTGATCCATGTAGGGAAGAGATGAGACTGATATGTTTTAGCTTGGCGTGAATCCTATGATAACAAGTGGGGAAAGCCTGATTTTTCAGCACCCGGAATGAGACTACTTAATGCCACTTTGCTTTTTTATATTTAAGTTAAAGAAATTATTCTTTTTTTTCTGATCATATAAACCACCAAACTATCTGAGTGTCATTTGTTAATACCTTTATGGAAACAGTTTACAAACCTTTATCCAGGGAGGCTCTTTCACATTGTGAAGGCAAATTACATCATTTCTTTCCCAAGTGAAATCCTCCATGATGTCTGAAACTTGGTCTATAAAATCTTAAGTGGAAGTTCTATTTGCAAATAATTTTTGATTCATCCAGTTCCCAATCTCTTTTCATTCCGCACCAACAACTACATAAACTGGTGGGCAGTAGTTCATGTGCAAATTGCTATTTTTCTGTACGTGCCATTTTCCCTTTGCTTGTCCTTTTATGTAACTTCCAATGTCGAGTCTGATAAACCCAAGATTCATTTCCTAAGGACTGTAGATTTAAATGCAAAGGATTTTGCATCTGTAATTTACAGCTAATCCATGCATTGTAGGGATAATAATGCACTGTACTTTTTGATTCTTATAAGAAATTGTTTCTTACATTGATTTTTCCTCTTCCTGAGGTACTTGTAATATTTGCTTCTTTCTCCTTAGTGCAATTGTTTATGTTCTTTGTGTGATAGAGGTGAAGTGTATGTATATCTTGAACTCTTCATAAATGAAAGTTCCCTGAGGGGCAGTAAAGATTCTAATTGTTCTTCTCTTTCACATCACTGGTTCCTGCTCATCCTACAGGTATCAGCTTAAATATCCCAGCTGTAAGGAAGACTCTTCTGATACCACCCCACACATTTATATTAGGTCAGTGCTCTTTTATTCAGGGACTGTCTTCCTGGACAGGCTATAAGGGCTTAGAGGCATTGATGGAGATTGTGTCTCTTTGCTCACCACTGTGCCTGCAATGCCTAGCACAGGGCTTCCTGCTTAATAGAAGCTCAGGTTAATATTTGTTCAGTAAATGATGAGAGGCGAAAGTCAGTAATTTAGATGCCTCTGTGAGATACCTTGATTGTGTCTGAGAAAAGAGACCCATCTTTCTTTGGGAGTGAGTGATACTGGAAGGAAAGACCAGCCTTGTGGACCTCAGACCTCAACTTTGGTTGCTTTCACAACCCCAGATCACCATGGTTGGGTCTACATCTATTGGTTCATTGCCAGACAGCATTTTAGCCACATTGTATAACTTCCAAGTAGATAATAATTTTTATGTCATAGTTTTCAAAGTCTGGTATTTTGATGGTAGGAAAGAAATAGGATGAATTAAAGCAACTAACAGAATTATTTTACTAGAACAGAAGCTTCAAAGAAGGGGCTGGACTTGCAATGAGATGCAGGCCGTGATATACATGTGGTTTTAGAATGGTGCGCCTGAATCTCTCTGAGAATTCTACTCTAGGTCTGAGTATGTCTTTAGAGTACAGGGACCACGCGGCTGTGTCAATGATCCCAGTTGATACCTAGTGGCAGTCTACTTACTATATCCTCTATTGGGTATCCACATTATGAGGAGTGTTGAAGTGTTAGAAAAATGTTTCTTTAAATATGTGCATAGGACATACACCTGCCTGCCAGGTATTGCCACTCTTTATCTGGTAGCTGTTAGAAATGGAATTTGCATTTATATAGACCACTGTGTCTTTTGGGGAAAACATTTCTGTTTAGTGAATAGACCATATCATACTCAAGACAACCCTATAAAGTAGGAAGAGTAAATATTATTATCCCCATTTAACAGAGGAAGGCGCCAAGAACTGCTGGGGAAGACTAAGTCACTCATTGACAGAGGCAGGGAAAAAAAAATATTCAGAGCTCTGTATCCTTGACTCCCAGGCCACCCCTGACATGTGTCCTTCACACAGGACATCTGAAGCAAATACGGACTGACCGTGGCATTGTGCTGGAGGGAAGAAGAAAGTACAGGCAGAGAAATGGCCAGGAAATGGCCACTGCCAGGGGTGAATTTCCAAAGCCTTTGCTAAGGCTGCAGCAAAGTATTATAGTATCCTTGCCTGTTTTTGTCAAAAGAATTGTGTTACTTTCCTTCCCTCCCTTCTTTTAAATTACAAGTCTATAAATTCAAGAGCAGAGAAAGTTTGAAAAACCAAAGGGGAAAATGCTATGGCATCAGTCTGTATTCAGATAGGAAAAAAGAAGACCCACTATATATTCACATCATGAAGGGTTTTAATGTGAGGAATGAGAGAGAGGCTTATCCAGTCAGGGAAGACCCCACTCAGTGTCCCAGCTTCACACCGAGGCTGGTGATCCTTGAGAGCTTGCTGACGTTTCTGCACATGTCAGGAATGCCTGGGAACCTCCTAGTGACATTCTCTATGTGCAGCACCACTGTGGGAGTGACTCTAAAGAAGTTCACTTGGACACTGCTTCAAACATTAGAACTGCCCAGACATTGCCCTGTTCCTCTTTCTCTCTGGATTTCCAAGTCATACTCCAGTGTCTCTGTTTGGCTCAGTCTAATGTAGAATCATGCACCAAGGGAAGTCTCAGAAATGCAGTTTCTAGTTCCTCCTCTGAGCTGCAGAGAAAACCTTAGTAGAGGGTGGTGGTGATGCCAGGTCAGAACAGACAATCCCACACGTATCCCATAATCTGACATGGCCAGTAGCTATCACACCAAAGGCCCCATTATGGTGCATTTGTATGCACATTTTGCAAAGTTATTGCAAGTCCAGTGAACATCCCTGAATTATTATTTTTTCCCTGATGCTTATACAGTCTTGAAAATATGCCATAGTTACCTTGTTGTATTAAGCATTGGACTTTAAGTGTATGAAAGAAAGAATGCAGGAAACCAAGAGGAAATCTATGGAAACTTGCTTGGAGATGGTTGCCAACCTACTTCCACCCAACCTTGGCAATCTTGCCGTTATCTCTGACACATTTGGTAGGTGTTCATCCTCTTCTGCCGCCAGGGGCTTGGTCTATTTGTGTTTGAAATTGCT